TTTTTTTCTTTGCACACTGTTTAAATTACTATTACACAAAAACACCCATTAAGAACATTTGGTATACTTTTTTTGGACTAGACAATCGTGCTGGAGTAAGATGCAGGAATCCCTTTATTGCTACAGTACTAGTTTTGTCCAGGGAAGAGATAAAGGGGTATGCTGATCAGTGAATCAGTGCAGTCTGCAGTTATTGTGTGATGTACAACGTTCTGAAATTCAGTCCCACAATCCCATCTTGAACTTGAACTTTATTGCCATGTGTAACTGGTACATGTACTGGTACAATGGAATTCTTACTTACAAAAGTCTCTCGATTGTTAAAACACAGACAGTGCATCAAGGCAATATACAAACAAACAGTAGACAATGTACAAGTAAACAGTTCGAATGTAAACAATGCAGACATGTAAACAATGACTGCAGATGTACAATAAATCAAATTACAATGACGTAGATGGTGTAGATGTGGTCCAAGGGGCATGGCCAAATGTGTTTGTCAATCGCACTTCTTGTGGGTAGAAGCTATTGAAGAATCTAGTGGTAAGTGTCTGTGTGCTCTTGTATCTCTTGCCTGAGGGCAGTGGGGTGATGCCCGGGGTGGTGACTGTCCTCTGTGATGGCCAGAAATCTACCACGGCAGTAGTCCACATAGAGCTGTTTAATCTCTGTGAGACCACAGCTGATGATCTTCTGGGCCACATTCACCATACTCCGTAGTGCCTTTCTCTCTCTCGAGAAGAGGTGTTGCCGTACCGCACGGTGATCCCGTTGGTGAGGATGCTCTCGATGGTGCAGCGGTAGAAGTTCAGCAACACAGGTACTGGCATCCCCCATTGCTTGAGGCACCTCAGGAAATAGAGGCGCTGCTGAGCCTTCTTCAAGATAATGTCCAGGTTAGGTCATTAGAAATGTGAATTCCCAAAAACCTAAAGCTGGTGACTGTTTCCACTTCTGTTCCATCAATACTGAGTGGGCTGTGAGTGTGCGGCCTTCATCCCTGTAAGTGGACTTGTCATCATCGCTGATAAGGCCTACTATCTCATCCACAAATTTACTGATGCGGTTGTTGCTGTGTCTTGCTGTACAGTTGTGAGTGAATAGGGAGTACAACCTTGGTCTCAGACAGCAGCCTTGTGGGGTGCCAGTCCTCAGGGTGAGTGGTGTTGATGTTTTATTACCTATCCACACCACCTGTGGTCTCTCGATTAGGAAGTCCAGCATCCAGTTGCAGACAGAGTTGCACAGACCTAATCCCCTGAGCTTTGTCACCAGTTGACTGGGTATGATGGAATTGAATGCTGAACTGTATTCCACAAACAGCATTCTCACATATGAGTCCTTAGTGTCCAGGTGTTCCAAGGCTGTATGCAGAGCCAGGGAGACAGCATCATCCACTGATCTGTTGTTCTGGTAGGCGAACTGCAGGGGGTCCAGGGACTCTGTGATGGAGGAGTTGATGTGTGACAACACCAGCTTCTCCAGGCATTTCGTCACCACAGATGTTAATGCTACTGGGCGGTAATCGTTCATATCCTGAGGACGCGGGGTGCTATATCATCAGGCCATGCAGCTTTATGGATATTCACCCTACTCAGAGTCTTCTGCACGTCCTGCTCTGAGAGTTTCAGAACAAACTCGCCCTGCACACTTGGGGTCTTCTCAGCAGTGCCCGTGTTCAGAGCATCAAAGCGGGCATAGAAGTGGTTCAGCTCGTCAGGCAGGGATGTGTTGTTCGTGTCAATCTCCTGGCTGCAGCCCTTGTAGCCTGTGATTGACTGTAATCCCTGCCACAGCCTCCGGGTGTCAGCGCACTGCGTTTCAAGACGCACTCTCTAGACCTGGTCGTGAAACGTTTGAAAATGATTGTATATTTTATGAAAGTAGCAAGCAAAACATACATTTAGGCAGCAACCAACACTAGACGCCCAGAATTTGTGTACTCTCCAGAAAATAAATCATTTGAGATTAATTCTGGAACATTAAAATGGTTTATCTGTTTATTCTAAACATATTTTTAACATGTGAATGTAGTTGTTTTAAGGCAATCAAATACATCTTTAGAACTACAGGTTAAAATTTTCCGTTGTTTTTTTTTGTTCCCCGTGCAAAATCTGACACTGACAGATTGTGTCCGTGTACTTTGACGTCAAAAATAAAAATAGATCAAATTAAATTAAATTAGCAGAATACGTCGGAAAGGACTAGGACATAATCCAGTGTCTCATCTGTCCTTTTCAACATTGCATAGCGTAATGCTAGGCTGCTATCATTATCCTCACTGTAAATCATCAAAAACTCAGAGCTTGTAGAAAAGCCACAGCAATCATTTTCCATCACAAAGTGCTTTAGGTATGACACACATTTCTAATGTAATTTTCAAGCCCAAAAGTGCCTGCCTTTCTGTTGTGTATTTTTTGTTGTAACTAAGAAATGTGTTGCACTTAGCCTACATACGGTATAATATTTAGCCTTTGGAAAGAGTGTGACAAATTCAGTCTGATTGCTCATCTCTGTACATAATTCATTATGCCTGTTGGCAGTAATCATAATTAGTTTGCTTCCTTTTTTTATATTAAGAGTGTCTTCAGGCAAGAAAGATCGTAAGCACTTTGAGTAGCGCATGCGCATGACCTCTATAATTCAGTGCAACAAACTTCTTAGTTTTTTTTTTTATTTTATTATTTCTTAGCTTATCAAAAAGACATCAACAAAAGTCTTAGGCCGAAAGAAAGCTTTGTACAGTATGTCCTTATACAAATGAAAACATTCAGTTCTGCTATGCCCTATCTGTAAGTTAAGAGCTTTATAAAGTTCTGTTATACTTAAACTTTAAACGGCAAATTGTGTCCAAACATTAAACATAGACCAACTAAAACTGCAGTTTCCAACATACCATGACATTGCATAATAACTGTGTGCTCATCCCAATTTTACAAAATTGCCAATGGAAGCCCTGTGAAAGTGACCTCTTTCTTTACACAGTTCTTAACCCAAAAGATTGTGGAAGTATGGAAATCTACTTCCTTACTGAGCCATGTTTTAGAAATGAATACAGTCATTTCTTATAAAAAGTGATTGTTTGGTCTTTTTTTTTTATCCTCGTACCAACTAAATGGAAACTACTAAACAGGCTCGACGGGCTGAAAGCCCCCTTCTCGTCTACCTTACTTTTTTAAGTTCTTACGCCATCTGGCATGGAGCTGCTGCTGTTTGTGTTCTCAGACAGCAGCCTTGTGGACTTGCCCATGTGCCTGACTGGAACTGAGAAAGCTGCCCTCGTGGAAATGACTGTAAACGTCAAAGAAAAAGAAACAACAGGTGCTTGATCAACACAAACAGATTGAGCCTTTCAAGCCAGAGCCAGGTTACTAGCTGACTGTGACCAGGACTCTTC